CTGCTGACGAGGGAGTATGTAGCAGGGCGTGGTGTCATCCCTAACAGATGACATCCTTACCTTGTCAGCTTGCTGGCGGGTTAACCTCTCTCCGGTCATGTGGACAAGCGTCCGAATTCGGATCAGAAGGTCCGTGGTTGAATCCCAGCACGGGACTTCGGAAATTTTATAGCGCTACATGATCTACTAATCCAGATTCCGATCAACAGGGGTACTGGTGGTGATTAGTAGGCCTATCTGACACAGACTGAATTGTAATTGGCAAATCAAAACGACCATGCTGTGTTTGGGCGATTTAAACCAGAAGTGTATGCTCACTCCGATTCAACACGAAGCCTAGATGACAGAAATCCAGATATTCAGTTATCCAGACAATTTATCATGAAAACAAATATGTCCGAATATCTAGGGTCTCACTGTATATCAAGCAAGAAAGTGCTCTGAAGTTGCTGGTCAGGTCTTGCCGTCAAAGGGAAACGAGGGAATGTTAATGGCTCTGAATGTTAATGGCTCTTCTGTGATTAGGGATAATAGTCTGAGAAACCAAGGCCTGCCTGGCTAAACTGGAGCTGTCAGAATAATTATGCATTCTGTCAGTTTGTCTTCCATATCACCTTGTCGAGTACAGCTGAAGGTAGGGATAGATAAGCAAACATCCCTTTCCAGTCCATAGATACAGCATAGATATTTTTAACCTGGGCACAATTCCTTCCAGTAACTTGGTACCCTTGTCATAGTATATATTTTTGCTGCTTGAGTTTCTTCTCTTGTAACTTCTGACTAATTTTCTTGCTGTTTACAGTTTTGGGCCTTAACTGTTGTTCTATAGTGGGGATAATTGATCTGAGTGTTCTGCTCATAGAGATCTGAGCTGGTGAAGATTTAGTCCCATTTCTGGCAGTCCCATTTCTGGCAGTGAGATTATCACACCTTTAAATTGGTCAAGCATGTTGTCCCATTTCTGGCAGTCGCGACTTCCGTGAGTCCCATTTCTGGCGGTATGCTGTTCATACCGCTTAATTGATAGGTAATAAATTACTAATTGGACTTGGAGTGACTTAAGTAGGCTAATTAAATGGATTGGAAGCAATATCCATAGGTGTTGCTTCTTCGTGGGCCATCCAGCAGTTTCTTCCTCTCCTCCAATGCAGATCTTAGGAATAGTGGTTAGTTTTTTCCCGAGCACATTTCTTCATGTTGCTGGTCAAACATCTCGCAGCAATATCACCTAGATCTGTAGCATGTGTGTGAGGCTTCCATCTCACAACAGTGCCCTCTGCGTTTGGTCACTGTGGACAGACATCTGGTATGGAGACACCTCCAGGGAACTGAACCATTCTTCTTTTCCTTCCGCGCGTGTATATCTGTAACCATCAGAATCAAATCCCCACCTACTTTCCTTCCATCTAAAAATTTCACCTTTTTCTGCCATCATAATGCTTATCTGTGACCAAAGTACTGACAAACGTAATTATGCCAGTCATATTTCCTCCTCTCAATGTACAAAAGAAATGCGATTAAAATACAAAAAAAGCATTTCCTGTCTCCAAGTGTACAAAACAAAGTGTGCTCATAATCATATACACCATAACCTGTCCAAAGACACACTGTGTTCATAATCATTAGATGCACTAACTGGAAGTGCACTGGATGGAAGTGATGATAAATTAGAAAGCAGCGCACTGAAGTAAAAGCGGCATTCTGGAGATGATCGGCTAGCAGTATTAAAAGCGCATTGGTTTTGCATAAACGAGCCAATAAAACCCAATGTGCACTCTGAAGTGCCGAACTGAATGAAAGCACCGCGCACTGGAGTTAACACACTGTCCATTACATAGACACAGAAGCAGGAACCTAACCCCAAAGCCAAGCTGAGCACTGGTAAAACTGTAGAAATAAGGTATGAGGCGAGAAATAGGAAGAAGTGTTGAAGGTAAACTTCATGGTAGAAAAAGCCACTGTAAAGTAGCGTAGTGTGTGAACTAGCAAACAAAGTCCTGATGGCGGTAGGTGCATAGAGGTAACCAGATGATTTGGCGAATGCTGACAGTTCAACGAACACTGTCGGATCGGGTGAATAATGTTGGAAGCGGCGATCTGGTATGGTTTCGGCGATCAGGATCAGTTCTGAGATCTAGGTTGGTTCGGCCCGATCTGGATCCGGATAGGTGATCGGTTGGTGGTGTGATCAGTTTGGATGCGTGATCTAAAGCGCTGAGTCAATTGAGGCGGTTTGCACTTGTCTAAAGCGTTGTACCATACAGTAATGGTGAACTGGACTGAAAAAGGTGTTCGATGAAACAACAGTTCACTAGGAATCGTTGTTCCAGTCAAAATGGAACACTGGTCTGAAAGCGTAGATCCAGTCGAAAGAGCCGCGCTGGCTGAAGTGTTGATAAAAAGCGGCGCACTGGGCTGAGTGAGCTGGACCGAGCAGGCGTTGAACTGAAGTGAAGCGGTGCACTGGCCTCTTCTTCCCTTGGTGAGAGTGATGCGCTGGTGCAAAGTGCGTACCGAACTGAAGCGACACTCTGGCCTGCAGTGTCGAACCAAACAGAAGCGCACTGCAGTAGATCCGCTCTGGGCGTCGAGATGTGTGAGAGCTACGCGCACTGGAGTACACCTGACCCATACATAATCAGGTAGCACTGGGCGTAACACCGAAAGAAGCGGTACACTAGATGGAAAAAGCGCCAAACTAACAGGATTGTTGAACTTGATATCATCACTGGAGTTGGAGGGATTGCCCGTTACACATGCTCGCACTACAATAAATCATTGTAGGTAAGTTAAATGCCGATCCAGAAAATTAGAGACACATTGCCAGTAGGTGCTGATAATGCCGTTTCAGGTGTTTGAGAAAAGTCACTGGAACTGTCAATCAGGACCGTGATGGCAAACCGGAAAATTTCTGACGATCCCTGTCTGCCACTTGTCTTGTGCCCATTCCGATAGTAACGGAGAATGCTTCATCATCAAATTGGCACAAGAAGAGCAATGGAAGTGAGGCCCGTCACACCATCCGATACAATCAACCTACAGTGTGTGAGGATCAGCGGCAGGAAAAAACAAATCGTGCAGTGTTATCTTTCCGCGAATATCGAGAGTACTTTCCTCGTGAGATAAAAAGTAGAGAAGAGTGGCAGACCAAGCATACATAACACACGCCCACAGCAGTGGTAGACAAGAAAGAGAATGACAGCTAGGGGACGTGACATCTGGGCGCACTGCACGCTTCTAGAGATGATTGACATGTCATGCTATCAGAGTGGGGGCAGAGGTCAGGTGGTACAGAGAGGCCAAGAAGTTTTGATTCAACTTAGCCTACCACAGCACGTTTCCACATATGAGTAGAAGAAGAGAGGTGCATACCGTGAGATAGGATAAGTTTAAAAATATTGTTTTCAAACAGATAGCCATTGCCATCTTAAACAGAAGGATAAATAGACGTTAGAAGAAGAAGATTGAGAATGCTGTTGGTCCGCCATGGTTGATGCAATACAGACGGTTTGCAATTCAGGGACTAAAGCCAACTAATGCAAGAACTGCATCTAGAAGAATGAATGGAGCCAGCCCTTTTTGCACGAACTCCTCTAACGGGTTGGCCTAAGAATTGCCAAACAGAACATGAATTGGTGGCTTGAGTTTAGAGCCTGGTTTGGGGAAACTTGCCGTAACCCTCAGGTTCTATGCAACTAGGGACAAATACCCAAGCCTCCCCGCATTACAACATGGGTATTGTCATGCAGCAAGATCTCCATTTTTTGGCCATTCTAGTAGCATACATTTTTGGAGGCATGGTGAGGCGATCTGATCACAAGCCGGCAGTTCTCAAATCCCTATTTATATGTAATCTGGAATGCAGAGGGGGAGGCAGAGTAAGGCACCCGGCGAGCGCCTTGGTTGTTCAAAGGGATGCTCGCCAGTAAGCTGAATGAAGGCAAGAGTGAATGCTCAACGAGCCATAAGCGGATGCTTGATGGATGCACAATGAAGGCAGAGAGGAGGCAGGGGCAACGCCACAGTTTACAAAGTTTTTATGTAGCCAGGCGTCCTTTAAGCCCAACCATTGTGCCTCTCCTCTCTGCCTTCACTCTTCTTCCTTCGTTTCTGCCTTCCCATGTGCGTCCTGTGATCAATCAACCATGGCGTGTGACTGCTCTGCATTTGTTTTGAGCATGTTCAATACAGTCACCATTGCAGTGGCGTTCTGAGCCGTTCTTGCCATTGGCTCTGCCTTCTTTCTGCCTTCATGGCCATGGTTCTGCCCTCTCTCTGCATTTGTCATGCAGAGCAGTCACTATATCCTGAGTAAAGGGGCCTAGGAGGCTATTGTTTGGCAATACCAAACTGATTTGTCTGGTATCATCCTTCCAACTGACCATGTCTGAGTAAGCGATGCTACATGAATCATCAGTCAATCAAACTCTGGAATGTTAATGTACACTGCTTTGCCATTTGTCCAGCCTGTTTTGACATTGCATCGCTAACTCTACTTCTTGTTTGAAATGTTGTAGTCAGTAACACTACTACGGACTTAGGCAATAAGCGGAAAAATGAATTAGGTCCAGTAAACTTACTGTCTAGTCGTTTTAGTCAGTAGCGCTACTGACTAGGCAGTACCTTGACTAGGCAGTAATGCTACTGGCCGGAGTTTCCGTATTATATATTATATATGCTTCTCACCATTTGGTTGTAGTCACTTTTAGCTTGATAACAATGTAACAATGTACATGAAACATCGCTTTAATGCAATAAACAAGGAGTTGTCATCCATAAAGTTGTATGTTTTCATTTTCATGCTTATCTAAAGTTACTATTTGTCTAAAGAAAACTACCTGGTTACTCATCGCGTTGTACATCCACACTGACTGAGTCTGAGTCTGATCCCCTGACTGTTGCTGGCAGTACAGGTGTAGTCCCCTCCCTGACTCCTGCTGATGTTCCTTCTGTCAAAGTACAGCCCCAGTACTGACAGTAGAACCACCATGGAATCCATGTGTAGCTTGTTGTTGGAGGGTTGCCAGGTGTGGTGTAGGTGCTACAGTCTATCCTGAGGTTAGAGAACTCTGTGACAGTCTGTGTTGGTGGTAGTCCAGATATAGAAGGAGGGTCTGAAATGAAGAGTGAATGAATATTGTTTTATTATTCACTTTGTAGGTAGACAGAAAGTTAGCTAATGATAGCCAGGTGAAAGAAAATAAGTTAAAGTCAGTATAAGTGGGTCTTATTCATTCCAACCTACCAGATACAAAAATAACCCTTCATAATCATATGTACTGCCTATATTCAATACACACTTTTCATAATATCTTAACAGGAATATTTTAGTTAAATGTTGGGTTATTTTTGGATTCAGAGAATTTACTCTATTTTATAATAGTGTATGGTAAAAGAGTAAGAGCAAGGTTTGGTATAGTAAAGTATCTAAAATCAACAAATAAGTAATATTAATCTCTGTAAACTGTTGAAAATTACCTGTCTACACTGCCATGTGAAGAGTAGGAAAACTGTCAATAATGGTAATAGGCAATAGATAGGTAATGTGTTATTGAAACTGTATGCCAGTAGTATAAGGTAAATTTCACATTTTTAAATATATTCATGATTTAATTGAGAACAATCCATACCACTGTATCTTCTAAAATACTTGGATGGACATACAAGGTATATATACATGGCCATATTACGAAGCCAACAAAAATTCTCATTTTCTGGTGTAAATACACTTTTCAAAAAAGCATAAAAATGGGAAATTCAAGAATGATACTTTTACAATTTTGTACACATATGTAAACTCAAACATTTTTTAGGGTTGCACATTGTTCCTGGAATGTTTCAGAAGATCATGCTTGACCAAGCGCAACCAAAATGATTTTGAATGTTTTTCAATCAGGATTGTCATGATGTGCGTGGATGTCATGCAGCACGAATATCAGGCACAATGATTGTTTCTCACGATGCAAAGCATGAGTACAGCATGTGTCTATAAAAGACCCAAATGAATGTCACAATTTCATCCACGATCTGTGCAAGTACTGTACACAAAAATGGGACGTCTCAATGCTGCCGATTGGCAATTGGACGATTGCAAGCTGGCGAATCAAAAGAGTGAGGTGGCAAGGATCTTCAGCGTTTATCCCAGCATAATAACTTCGATTGTGTGATCGATTTCGATCAAACAAATTCGACCATCCAAGATCAGGAAGACCTAGAGTCACCACACCTGCCCAAGATCAGTACATTCGGGTAACCAACCTACGTGACCGCCATCGTACACTTCCGGGACACAGTAAAGAACAGTTTGGAGCTCGAAGGGTGTCCGATCAGACAATCAGGAACCGTGTCCGAAGTAGGAATATGTGCCAAACGTCCAAAAGTAGCCCCTCCTTGACACGACTACATTGGCGTCGGCGGAAAGTGAGATGGTATAACACGGTGCTGCCATGGAACCTGGCAAAGCTGGAGGCACATATGGTTTTAGCGATGAATATCGTTATCTCCTCAGGTGGCGTGATGGTAGAGACCGTGTCTACAGGCGACGTCATGAACGTTTTGCTCCTAACTGCATCAGACAGGTGGACAGATTCGGTGGAGAGAAGTGTTATGGTGTGGGGAGCGATCTCATACACCCATAGATCGGAACTTGTGCTTGTCCAAGGCAATCTGACAGCCAATCAATACATCGACCAGATTCTCCGTCCGAATGTCCTTCACTTTGTTGACCGTCAGCGGCAGCTCTTCCAACAGGACAGCGCCAGGCCCCACACAGCCGTGCCACCATGGACGACCTGGCCAATAACAACATCAATACCCTCCCTGGCCCTCCAGATCCCCCTGATCTAAACCCAGTCAAACACCTTTGGGGATCAGATCGATAGGCGGAGTACGTCTATCAATCAATACCCTCCCCTGGCCCTCCAGATCCCTGATCTAAACTCAGTCGAACACCTTTGGGAATAGATCGATAGGCGAGTATGCGTCGACATCATTATTCCACCACAGAATCTTCAACAGTTGTTCCACATGCTGCAGGAGGAATGGAGAAGGATTCCACAACAAAACATCCAACGACTGATTCGATCTGTATCCAGGAGGTGTCGGGCAGTGGTAGCAGCTGGAGGTGGTCATTCGAGGTGCTGACTTCAACACCACCTGGTGGACAGCAGTAATGACTGTGATGACTGTTATTCTAATGAAACATGGACAAGATATCAATGCATTGCTCCACAAAATTTCATTCATGTATCTTTGTTTTCCTCAGCTGATCTACACGTCCTTGAATAACACCAAACTTTCATTGATATTTGGGTTTTGCGTTTCTTTTGAAGAGTGTATGTAAGAGGCGCTTTAGTTACAAGGAATGCATTTGTACATGTCATCTGTCACATTCATATCATATTTGAAAGAAACATTTATACATGGGCCAAGTCAGAACTTTTCAGTGTTCACAAACAAAGAGTGCATCACCCTTGTCAACCTGAGTTTGAGGCAGAATTTACCATTGGTAATCTTGGAGAAATTAATAGGATAAATGTTCTTGGAGTAACCTGAGATACTCATGTAGCTGTGGCATTATTTCAAATTTATCCATGCTTGCAGACCTGTCAGGCTTGGGGTGAGTCCAGAACAAAGATAATTTACAACTGAGAAAGCTGAATGCAGAATTTTTGTCATGGCCACCCAGCTTCATGTGCCAACTTTTTGGAAGATCAGCCACTGAAGCCATGAAGCTCGTTGTAAAAGAAGCAGACTGTTTTATCTATCAAAAATAAAGATTATAAGGAAATGTACACAACCTTTGAGCAGCTTAGGCAACACTAGACAAACATACCAAATTATACCAAAACTTGAAGCCAAACCTTTTTGCACTGTCAGTGTCGATAACAGTTTGTCCTCCATCACCAAAAATAATTGACAGTGATATAAGACTTAGGAATTATCTCTCCTGTATCCAACCAAGTATTCTACCATGAGTCAAGAAAATACTAGATTCTGATTGGTTGTTCAGAAAAATCAGACGGCATCAATTGTGGATTGACGCCATCTGATTGTAAGGCAGCTTCACGGCGCATTAACAAATCTGATTGTGAGAACTACTTCCGTTTGACCACAATGATGGCGGATCATAACAACAACTCCATGGATTTTGACACTGACTTTCTAATATTCCACATAGGCAATTGGAAATTTTGGATTAAAATGCATTTGACTTCATTAAGCGCTTCACTCGCCGTCGTATAGAACTACTGCCGCGCGACTACTTCAGCTTGACCACCAACATGACTGATATCAACACAACAGATGTGATGGAAATGCTGATAAAACATTTATTTAAACTCGAAAATACAATTATATGATTTACCCCCCACAATTATGAGGGAACCTCACTATCATATTACCTTCTATTATAAAAATATTCAAACTCAAATTACAATACACGGCCCCAAACATAAACAAAACAATATCTAACATATAAATCAGAAGCCTTGTAAAAATACATCCCTATCTATACAAAATATGCAGCAAAATGATTAGTAAACATTTACCTACCTGGTAAATGGGTATATTTAATTTTAGAATGGGAAATTTGCAAGATAGATCTAACGGTCTGGCAGCTTAAACACCACATTTATGCCACTCCATAGTCATACTCCATCAAATCCCGTGTGCATCGCTCACAAAATAATTCCTGTTCTCTGCCAGCTTCCCCGCAAGGTTGTCCACTTCGTTATGTTCATCTACTTTGAAACACGCTTGGACACAGTCCAGTCCCAAACGATGAAAACAAAGTTCCAAGGAATCACAAGTTAGTCACATGTACACTAAGCAGCAGCACTGTCACCCTTTTGTCGCATGCCGGGTGGAGGCAGCACGGAAATCATGATCGGCCGGGTCATAAAATCAACAGTCTTTGATGAGTTACAGGTCGTAGGTTGATCAGGAAAGGATCTATTCTTCGATTCTGCAGGGTTCAGATTCGACAGTCAGTCAAGTATTGCCCACTGTCACTTCAAATTTCAACCTTTTAAGCTAAATGTAAACACTGGCTCCGTCCGCCATTTCAAACTGTTAGCGTAACTGTCTGCTTCAAGAAAATAAGTAGCTCAGACGATTCCATTATAGTGTGGCCAGGGGGTACAGTTTCACGGCACCACAAAACAATAGGCTGGTTTTGAGTAATGGTGGAGTTGGGATGAAAAACCCCAAGGTCCTCGGTATTACATAATTGCATTGAATAAACAGTAGTTTGATTTCTTTGGACAGAATATTGTTATGTTGTAATGTTAAAAAAATACGAACGGCACCTACCGCTCCCTTCACAGACGAAGTTCAATTACCTCGTCCCGGTACCCATGCGGATTACACAGTGTCTTCCTCGCAGAGCCGGCAGGAAGTTCGATTTTAAAATGGTTCATAGAATGGAGATAATTCTAGATGCGTTTGAAAATCAGAGACATGCTTTATTGAATTGATGGCTTAATTAAAGTTCAGTTGAAACCTCACGCTCTGGCGTTAGGGTTCCAATTGGAAATTTAGTCGCCATCAATTCAGTAAAGCATGTCTCTGATTTTCAAACACACTAGGTTTATCTCTAAATAATCTCTTGATCTCAAAACCACTGGGTTGTGCTAGCTATTTCCTCCTCCACTTCGTAAGCGTATTATTGACTATCCGTAAAAAAAAAAAATGAAAGAAATTAAGGGGAGAAAATTTTCTTGGTGGTATCGCAGTGAAGAAGCATCACTTACGCTTACATTGAGGTACAAAACACACAACTGACTCCAAACATACACGTAAATCATGTGCACCGCCCATTGTGTAAAGTTGAAAATCAAAGTTTTCATGTCCATAGCTGTATGTGTTTGGGTGCTCTTTTCCAGCACTGTTTTTCTTTACTAGCGCTTTGTCACACAGTTCTCCTGTCCACTAATCTTCTGTGATATATAGAGGGGAGGAATAGTGAAAAACTCTGGGTGGGTGTCAAGTGCACAACCCAGAGGTAAGTTTTCTATTCTATAATAACAAACAGTAATTGTGATTGTTCATAATAACTGGCTCAACATTCCATCTGGGTTGTGCTAGCCAGAATCCCACATAAGGTTGGTGGGTTACAGAAGAGAGCTCCCTGAGCCAAAACACCCATTTACTATAATTTTTTCCAAAATTTGGGTAATTATCTAGTCCTTATCTGGTCCTAGTATTACATTGACCAAAACAATTGAGAGAATTCCTTACTTTTCTGTTATATTTTAGATATATCATTACTGCTTATCCTCACAGGATTTAAACGTTCTGTGAGAGAACGCCGTCCTGAAATAACAGATGACCACATGCAAAATACTTCTTAATTCCACCACCTGGGAAGGATGGCAATTGTGAGGGTATCACATACATTCAATGATCTTGTGAGGTAAGACGTCACTTCCGATCATATGACGGTACTTACTGTCACTTATGGGCACCTTATACTACTGATGACGCCACTTCCGGTTCTCTAATTGATGCCCTCTATGACATCATTAGATCCAAGTGACGTAATACTCCACTTTCGGTTACGTAATCGGTGAACATACAATTGTCATGGGCAAACCTGACCCATAGTAACTAGCTATCTTGACCCAGTTAGTAGTAAGACGCACTCCATCGAGACAATTAACTCTGAATCAGTCCTCACCTTCCGCTGATGGCTGACTCCTGTATGTCCATGTCATCATCAGAATATCCATTCGTTGAACCCTCAATTAAGTAGCATTCATAATGGGGTTTTGCAGCGAAATTCCTCTGACAGGTTTATTTCTGGTTAATTAAGTTCCCTGACCGGGTTAAAAATTGTTGTTGTTGAACAGAATTCTTTTTCTTTTATGTGTGTTGATTTTACTTTTAATTAATACAACTATGCCCATAAGCATAAGTCGTGGAGGCCATCAATGATGATCATTCTGAGTAGTCAATTACGCCGTCGTTGAGATAATCTTTTTTCTTGTCATAAATACATTGGTTTCGGACCACATCTGCTCCATGGGCTTTGCACAAACCATAAAGGCATTTCACTCCAATATCACATACTGAACATGTGTTGTTTACGAATCCCTTTCTCATTGTGTTAAAGTTTGCACATAAAAAAATGAAACAGTTTTTTTCATTTATCTCAAAACTTTATAAAAGTCAGATGCAAGGTTTTTGACAGGACTGCGCGACATTATGATGCTTACATAAAAGAAGTCGCCAGTTTTTGAAGCTGTCAGAGGATTAACAACCTGTAATTAGCACGGTGACACTGAGTTAATTTTGAGTTGCTTTTGATGTGTGTCAATTTGTGTGTCACTATAATTACGCTTGATAAACTAGGCTAGACATCGTCCATTATTTTGGTAGTGACTTTAATCTGGAAGTTTGTTGGGTTACGATGGATGCAGGAATCATCCGTGCTTTCAAAGCACATAACCGCGCACGCTTCGTTGTGAGACACTTCTTTGTATGTCTTTTTTACATGTTGTCCTTGGTTCAGATATGCGAAAATTTGTTTATCCGGACAATTTCAAGAAAAAACACAAGTGTCCGGATAAACAGGGCACGACTGTACATCAATCGATTTTACATCTAATGCAACAAAATCGAGCTTAACCCAAACAAAGCGATAGGAATGTTAGGTTAAAAAGAACAAGAATTTCAAATACCGTGGTTTGATATATCGTTTATAGTGGTGATACATTCAATTTGCTAAACATTTTGCTTGAACCTTGCTTGAATCTGCTTGAATCTTGCTTGGATCTGCTAGAATTTTGCTAAGCTAGCACACTGTATAAGCCATGGGTTGGTCCGTTTTCAATAAGAGTTTGGCGTGTTTGTTCAGCTGTCAATTCTTTCACACATGCTCACTTGGTTTTGTGGAAATCAGCGTTTTCGAAGACATTCTTCCGAACGAATCCCTTAATAAAGGCTGACCATTGATTCTGTTCTATCAAAGCTGTGTTTCATGTAATGACCGAGAAGGCTAAATACGATAACATGTGTATTTTTAACGATCTCTTTATTCCCGCTGCAATCATCTAGGATAAACAGCGTCGATTCTCCTTTTAAACTTGTCGCGTGACAGGCTTTTAACAAGTCCTGCAAAGCGCATTCCATGATCGATTTAATGCACTTCTGCGTCATTCATCACCCGGGAATCCGCGAATGGCGAATTCGTTCAACTGCTTCCGCAGCGAAATGATAACACGTCAGGGGACTCGAAGAAGCTCTCTGCAATCTTACTTATTACCCGCGATGATCGAATATCAATAGCAATAAAAACATCAAGAGCCTATTCATCAAAGGAAACTGGCACCACGATATCCGACGGTTATAATAGCGTTAAGTATGCTGAACAACGAAATTTTGAACCCATTGGAGCCAGTCTCAAACTAAAAGAGTCGGATGGAACACTGATATTAACTACTGGGGAAGATCCATAAGATGCAGTAAGCCCTTGACGAAAACACTTTCATTTCACGCCTAAATGAAATACAATCCCATACCACCGTAACTGAGTCGAAATTACGGGACATCGTGCCCTATCACGAGCTGTTCATTCATCTCGATCAGACAAGCGTCTATAAGCCGAATTTTGAGGACCGAAAAAGCAGTCTGAAGAAGGGGTCAGCTTATCTATAGGTTATGCTTTTCGTCTACCGTCTATAAGCCGAATTTTGAGGACCGAAAAAGCAGTCTGAAGAAGGGGTCAGCTTATCTATGGGTTATGCTTTAGAGTCAAACTTTCTTCCAGGGTAAAGAAAACAACATTGTATCACTTGGCAAGTGAACTAACAACATAAAAGCGACTTTGTCAGTAAAGGCGTCAAATTTGCAATTAAACATCACTAGACAAGATTATTTACCTTTTAAGTTGTAAGTTGTTTTGCTGGGCATTGTATTATTTGCAGGGATTATGATAACCATGTGTATTTGAGCTGGAAATAGCAATCAGCTGTGCACATGTTTCCGGCGATCAAGTTCAAACATGCACAATAATATAACAGGATGAATTCTGGTGGAAATTGTACACATTGATTGGGGTAAAAGGAGCAAGCAATTTAAAGAAAATATAACATTCATTTTCTGTCAACTACACTTCATTTCGATCGCGTGAGTAGGCGCCAATATGATTGTGAATTCTTGAATAATGTGGACCAAAGTTATAATTATTGGTAACTGCCAGTTGTCTGTGGTCTGTGTATATACGAAACATACCATTTTGACACTGACTTGAAGGGTGAAGTTTGAGGGTCGGCTTATAGATGGTAATATACAGTATATTGGATATCTAAAGCGTTAAGCTGCACATCAAATAATGATGAATGCTTGGTCCCAGAATGCAACAATCGAGAAGAAAATGCCCTACCATAAGCGTTCTCTGATCTTGGGGACACTTTCGAGTGTTTGATTGAACCATGTGTTGAAGGCAACTTATGTCTTAGAATTAAGAAACAATGTTTACAGACTAGCAGAAGTGGCCTCCACCGGCGGTGGTGAAGGTAAAAATAAGGATTCTTCTCATTCTTTACTCCTGAAGTAATGAAGCGATACAAGTTCTGAGAATAGCAGGTCACACAGGCTCTATGTTAGCCCCACTAACAAACAAGCTGCATTAATATTTAGTATTGCTGATCACCAGTTGGATTTTTTAGTAAACCCTGATATAAGTATAAAATTACATTCTACACTACATTCTAATAGAACTTTATCTTGGAGATACTCCCTCAGAAGATGTATTACTTTTGAATGGGTTAACAATATACTGGGCAAATGAACATAAACATCAGCATTGTCGTATTTATATACGACTAGGAATAATCCCTTTGCTTGAACCTCATGGGGTTCTTGTTTATAATCTAGGTAAACAGGAGCCCATTTATCTCTCTCTATTTATTTATACGACAATCTAAACTTAATCAGCCTGAAATATATTGATTAAACATTGTCAGATTACCAATTGAAGGTTATTCCCTAACCTATATTATACTCAAAATGGGATTGTATCCAGCCATGGGACGGAGTTAAGCAAACCATGGAAACCATGGACAGTTTTCGTTTGCATCAAATCAAAGCGTGATCACAACATCTAAAAAGAATGGGATATCGCGGATCACATTGCATAAAAATACCACAGAGCCATCAATGCTATTGACGGCGTGGATACAGCTTATAACAGTCAGCATGGGGCTCGGTGTGGCTGGCGTCGAGGTGTCCCATGATGTCCCATTAGTCATACGTCCTTAAATAAACACATCTCATGGTTGATTGCTTTTTACATATGAACCCTTAGTACCTCTGCAGGTAAATGGAATGACCCATATGAAACGAAGCAAAAGAAATTAGCAAGAGTTTATTTATTCTTATAACAAATATAAATATAAAAGCATTTCGGTCTCATGTATAAAACATTTCTTCAATACATAGCCACTAGTCACATAGTCTTTGACATATCATCTCATTAGCAGTATAAATATACTGAACAGCAAAAGAAACGCAAAGTTTGAAAAAATGAAATTTCATGAAGGGAAGCGCCATGTTTATGGAACATTCATGGTAAAATAACCTAATGATCCCAGATGAGATGATGTAATGCAATTTGACATCCATCACGAACCATTTCCACAAACACACCAACAGTGCAGCAAAACCATAATTTTAGCATGTGCATCGATGGTTCTGGATGGAAAGCATGCATTTCACTCTGAGGTATCCTTTATAAAGATTTGTGTCAAAAACAGTTCAGTATTGGCTATGAGGTGTACCGCCACACAAAAGCGATGCCTAGACTAACGACTGAGCAGAGGGAATGGCCATTGGAAAGTTACACGGAGGTAGCTCTGCAACCCCTGTAGCTAGACAATTGGGCTGTCATCTTACCACCATTACATGACTTGCTCAACGTCATCAGCTAACCGGGGTTACCGCTGATCGTCACCGTACCGGACTGCAGCGAGTGACAACTCATACACAAGATCGGTTCATCCAGGTTAGTCATCTAAGGAACCAACTCAAGCAGCACCAGTAACAGCAGCCTTAGTTCTTGGGTCAAGGGGCAGTGTTCAGCGATCACGATTAGGCGTCGTCTTCAGGCTGCTGGAATCCACTGCGAGAGCCATATGTAGGGCCAATTTTGGCGTCAACAATGCCAGCGGCGTTTGCAGCCCCACACACAGCAAAGGGTGTCAATGGACTATCTGGCTCAGAACAACATTAACATTTTCCATGGCCATCTCTTTCCCGGATATGGCTCCCATTGAACATTCTGGGGCTGACATTGGACGGAGGAGATTGGGGCCACTCTCACTTGCACAATTGGAATAGAGATTGGTGTTTTGAGCGGAACCAATTCCCTTAGGCATTCTTTCAGACTCTAGTGAACTCAATGAGGCCACGTTGCACAGCCTGTGTGCAAGCTCAAGGTGGCTACTCTGGCTACTAAAGAGACTGTCACTTTTAGCGTTCAGGGGTATCTCCATTTGATGGACTGTGTTCAATTTGAACTTATTGCAATTCAATGTCAGCAGCAACTTTTAGCTGTTAAATTGACAGTGTTTTTCTATACAATAAATAATTAGACATGATTTTGGTTGTCTTCTATTCAAAAAATTTGACAAAAGACAGACTTGTGTTTCTTTTGCTGCTCAGTATATATGAAACCTTTCATCACATACAAACATTTCTTCCTTGTCACATACTCTCGACATCTCATTAAGGTCATCTGGAGATGTCCTCAGAGAATAGTTGAAGCTTTGCAAGAACATGTGAAGGTTCCACAAAGTCGAAACTACCGGGTAGAGACATTGACATTGATTCCAAGCCACTGTAATAGCCCGAAGCATTGTATCCAAATCTGGCACATGAGAGGGATCCCGAGCAGAGGTTCCATGATTCTGGTAAAGTACTGCAGCCCCAGTAGCAGAACCAGAACAATGTGAGGGAGAATGGCGGTCTGTAAAACCATACCGGCATCTAGAAGGAGAGTGAACAGGTGAAAGCAAGTGAACTGTAGAATGCTGCTGAGTCGGGGAGGCAGAAAAATGAGTCTCGAGATCTAGATCGAATAGATGAACCCGAGCAAACAATCCGATGAGATGACCGAAAAAGCGAACAGGTGAACCCAAACTATGAAGTGATCCAGTCCGGAGCAATCATGTGTACCAAATGAGTCAGGTGTGAACTAAAATGGGAAGGCGCACCAGATCGACCCGAGGGTGAAACTGTTGGGCAAGACGAATGATTCCGTCCTGTGAATCAATTCACCTAGATGCCATGGTTCAGGATTGAAGGTCGGAATGACCTGGGACTGTTTCCCATATGTGATTAATATTTACTTGTGATGTGTTGATTGTATCAGATGCATGTCTTAATCATGCATTTGATTTTATTAATAGCTGATTGGAAAAATAGTAGATGCATATGAGTTTTCAAGTGTTTTAATACTTAACACATTGTATGTGATTCACATAATTTACAACCAGAGGTATGTGAGTTACTTTTGACTATGATGCATGATTAATTATAGGTTGACTGTTGTATTGATATTGTAATGTTCCAAGTATGGAATACACACTGGCAAGTTATGCACAACTCTTCTTAGTCTGATTGCAACTGTATATAGAGCTGCTTGGCCGCAATCAGACTCTGCGCTTTAATAAAGCCATGTCAGCTTGCATGGGATTTTGTGTGGCTTTCTGGTACCTCGAAGTATATCACTGCTTGAATGGTGCTGCTTTTGCTTATTGCTAAATACAAACTAAGTTCACTGCTTTCAGCTACCATTTTATAAAGATTATTAGGCGCACTATTCTGTGGTATACTGTGGCTAGTCACTGGTCGTTGACCATAGAGTGCATACCTCCATTAGTTAGGCTTTGTTGTGTTTTGCTGTTGTTATTGTAGTTATTATCACGGGGTACTAAAATTGTACTCCTTGGATCGTTTGTAATACCCTAGCTGCTATCGATTATCGGTACTTGTGAACCTAGGGCATTTATCATGGCCCCGTCAGACCCGCAATATGTGGTGACTACCATTGGCGAAGATTTTTTATAATTGGTCCCCTCGGGTTAGCATCCCCTACAAACTGTGGATCAGATTATGTCACCTCTCGTTATTTTTGAGATGTCTTGGTACTTATGTTTATAACATGGGGACACAAAATAATGTTTCATCTGAAAGTTCAATAAGTAAATTAAAGAGAGGCAACTTCTCTTTAAGACCACCAATTCTGTTCTCGCCCAGCCCACCTGATTTGTCAGTTAGAATAAAAAAGAGCTTTGATGGTAGCTGCATGACTGTCATGCCTGGACTAAAGAAACCCATCACACTTGGGGCATATAGATAAGGCTATGGAGATCGGTGGCGGTGCTCTCTAATGTATGGCCTATATTTTGACCTTCCACTCCTCGTGGCTCTAAAACGTTAAAGCGCTATTGAAACAAGGATTTGACTATCTTGTTTCACTTACAAGAGCTACATACTGACATGGGCGCGAAATTACAAGGTTATATGGAAATATATTGGCGACTGCTACCCATCCCAAAGGATGGTACTTTGGCAAGCTATCTCTGGTCCACAATCGGACTAAGTGGCTAAAAGTTTCTGTGAAGCTTAAGTGTCACCTACTTTACTGTGGGAACCGATATTCAGGTAAAGAGGCATTGAGATATTGTGCTCTCTGTACACAAGAAATATTTCCGATCCACAATGATTGTAGGAACTTTTCCCCAGTAACTTTATGTAAATCGTGCCACGTGAGTTCAACATGTAGGATGTGCAGCCACACTGTTGAAAATAACAGGGGGCAATTTCCGTCTGGTAACACTGGAAGATCAGGCACCGGGGAGACCAGAGACCATATATTATATGGTCTCTGGGGGACATGTACATACAATTTGATATACCCATTATTGAAGGTTTGGAGGCCTTCCTGGCCGAGGGTCCATACACCCTCCGGGCTACCTAGCTATTTCAATATTGAACAGTGCCGAGGTGTCAAAAGTACCATATGAGGACCCGTTTATTGGAGTGCGGACTGACATTTAGCCAGAATCAGAATCCAGTGTTGTTCCCACCCAGGGATATTTTGGACCGATTTGATGTGAGGACACTGATAAATTATTATCGTCCCAAGCGGGTGGAACCAGTTCCCGAGATGTCGTTTGTTCATCTCTTTCTAGACACTCGTCACCATTGCCTGACCTTCCGAAGGCCTCATCTTCTATGTTAAGAGACTGATGGCACCTTATTCCGGTTGGTCAGTTGGCTCTGAAAATAAGGTTATTTTGCCCTCCACAGAGCCAAGCTTTCTGGGACCATTTTAACTGGAACCAGGGAGAGGCAACTTGGCTTTGGGTTCACAAGAAGCATAGGGAGAAATGAGTAGTTTATTGATCTTGTAAACTCATTGTGATTTGCATGAAAAGAAAAGAAAAATGTTCATGATTCCAAAAGTTTACCTCTCAATTTGATTTATGATATCTATACTAATCATATCTGCATCTATTACTTCCAATAAGCATTTGTTAAAAGGGTATTCTGTTACACTTCTCAGATAAATTACAACGTAAAGACAGATCCTATCTGAGATATTTACCTGTATTTGAATTTTGTGTTTTCTGGTCCTCAGATACATAGTTACTCAATTATCTCTTTGATATTGTATTTTTTTTTGTATGATTGATGTAAAATTGTTCTGGACAACTTACTTGTGTGTAGGTCTGAGCTTAAGTCATTCGTCAGTCATGGGACATGCTCTACAACAGAGAGTGGTGGGGTAGCCTAGTGGTTAAAGCGTTATTTCGTCAGCGAAGACCGAGTTGAATCCCCACATGGGCACAATGTGTTAAGCTTATTTCTGGTGTCCCCGCTTGATATTATTGCTGGAATATTGCTAAAAGCGTAAAACTAAAAACTCAGTCAGACTCAGTGCTCTACAACAGGAGGGGCATGTATAACCAGGATATTTAGAATAGAAAACTTAATCATGGCGGGGCACTGGCGAGCTGAAAAATATTTCTGTGAAATTGTATCTCATAGATAAGACGACCCCTTCTACAGACATATATTTTGGGTCCTCAAAATTCGCTTTATAGGCAGGTCATATATCTGGTACTAAGAATCAGAAAAGGGACACAGGTAATGATTCGATTAAGCATCTTCTGGCCTCTGCCAGTCGGTTCGGTTTGAATGCTTCACGAATGATTTAAGCTCACTATTAAAGTACATTTATGATGGAAGACATTGATGGTACCAATCAAGTCTTGGAAGAGAGAAATGATTGTAGTTAGTGGTGCAGCTGGAATATGAGTCATTTGAAAAGGGACTAATGAAAGTAACTTATTATTCAGATGGGTTATGAGTCATTTTTATATGGTGTAGGACAGTATTTCAGGGGAGGAGCCCAAATTGTTATGAAGACTATTTTGTTAGTTGACTGGGAGAGAGAGGAGATTCTGGGCCCCACCGTTGACTTGAGAGGTTAAGCTCTGTATATTGAGAGAATGGCTCCAGATGAACTAGTAACTTTAGGAGTTGTACAAGAATCCAACAAGTTCTTCCATGAAGTTTGTGAATCTGTGTTGTGTGTAGACCAGGAATGCTAGGCAATATCTGAGGACCTTTGTGTGAGAATTCATTCCAAAATAAATGGACTTGAACACCATACCAGACTTATCTTTGACTATCCATGTTAGCTACTTCATCCCCAGAACCAGACTGGATAGACAGATTGTCTAGGGAGGAAAGGGTAGAACACCCTTCGACACCCTCAGGTAACATATAACTAACAACAACAATTATGCACTTAAAATAATGTTTGCAAGTGCACATGTGATAAATTAGCACATTTTTGTCCCAAATCGTTCATTTTTCTCTCTCTCATATTAGCAGCTCACAGTGACACTGTTTGTTATATTATGACAACTTTTGCTTTTATACTATGATGCATACATATTCTTATGTTGGTATATTTAAACTCTATCACACAGAAAAAGAATTATCAAAGATCCAATAAGCCTGAAGAAACTAATTAACATTTCAATATTCCTTCCCCTAACAACAGCAAATGTGAGGTGAGCGGTGAGCCCAAGAACACTGAGTTATGGAATCTGTCTTAAGCGCAACTTATGCTATATGTAGACATTATGCAGTGTATTTACTGCAAGTCTGCTGATAACATTGCACAACTAAATCTTGATTACATGACTGATGGGTTGTGGTTTCAAGATCTAAATGATGGAGCCTAAGATAAAACGACCTACAGCACAGCTAGTACTGGCAAATTGAGTGAATGTTTATTACATGGTTACTCACAAAATCCGGAAAAATTGGAAAAATTTACACCAACATCGTTGGAACACATTCTGTAGTGCTGCAAAACATTGAAAAGACTCTGTTTACATCAAGTTGAAGGTGTATATTGATGGTGAAATTGAGTTACCCAAGGTTGTGACTGAGTTATGCTACATACACCTTAGGCAAGAGTATTGAACTCTCTGAACAAAAACAACAGAAGACACAGAAACAAAGTGAAACATCAAAGGTGTAGCTTGGTTTTGTGCCTGATGTGACAATAACACCATTGACCACGATCCAGTGTTTCTCAATCAGATATACTGAAGTGAATCATGTGCCAGAAGGACAAATGTCTGCATGGAGACAGGCACAAATTAGAAGCTGCCAGCTCAAAGACTTTGTACTCAGCTGTTGAAACATTCACGACGAAGCTGCAACAATTAGAAATGATCAGAGGGTACTCATGCAGCTGTCAGGAGGTGCAGAGGAGGAACCGATAGTATTGCTGGTGATGTACTTGTGCATAGATCATGTAAGTAGTTCATTATACTCACAGTAAAAGTCTTACCTTTGTCCAAGAAAACACATCCACAGACAATGCCTATGATGAGGCATTCAAGCGTCTTTCACATGAAATTCAAAGGGAATCATTGATGGATGTGAAGTTTGGAAGATGTCTGATGTTAGAGATAGATTTATTGAAATTCTTCAAGATGTGGGCATCAATCAGCCAAATTACAGGTCGGAAAACCTGAAGAAACATATCATAAGACATTTGGAAGGTGATTTCTTTCTGGCATCCAAAGTTTCAAAGTGAATCTGAGATGATGTTTTCTCTGATATCGTCCCTAAAGGCATGTATATTGAAGCAGGGGCCTCAAATGTCAGAGATTTGCAGGGCGAGATATAGAAGATGATGATGTTGGACTACATCTTGATGAGAAAGCTGAACAAGTGCATCAGGTATGCTTAGTATCACACATGGTTCACCATGAGGTACAAACAGTGAGAGACATGCCTTGGCCACCATCACCTCAGGACATTTCAGAGGAGTCACTAAGCAGTGTGGTTCCTGTGATTCTATTCAATCTTTTGGCATGGATTATTGTTGGAATTGTAGATGATAAAAACAGAAACAACAGGTTATACTAAACTAAATGAGAATGCGCTTGCTCACTGAGTAGGAAAGCGTGTTATGCAAAACAAATGAAGAGATAGAGACATGTGACAGCTGTGATTGGATGAAATAGTGTAAGATGTTTATGTTTTTAAAAGCATATCAACCAGCAATTAAAACTGACCACAATTTTAAGTATTCAGTGTTGTCATTTTCATCACCATGACTTATGCTTATTGAGTGTACAGATATTTTTCCAGTAGGTGACATTTGGTGCGGAACTGGGGTTGATGTGTTCCACTTCCTGTCCTCGCATAAAACGGCGGACAAGTTGGCCTGATATTGTGTTTTATTGTAGTTTAAAGGCCAGAGTGTACCCATGTGTACATGGAATGTCTGTTGATAGCTTGTCTATTTTTAAAAAATTATAAGGTTACTATAGAAGTCTATGGGAAAACATTTGGTGGTGTGTAACCTGTAGGGTTTGAGCACTTTTCAGTAATTCATACTTTACATGATTTCCTGTGTTTATTTCACCATGGAAACATGTTAGCATTAATCAATAGAGGCAAATTTAAAGGTACTGGGAGTAAAGATAGGGCTGTTTTGAGTGGAATAGATTGTTTTGAGTGTCAGAATATGAGCGTTGCTTAGTTTTGTGGAATGAAACAGTGGGAAAAAGACCCTCCGCGGTGAGTCTTACCATCAAGTAGTGGTTCCCTGGCTTCTAAATTTGTTGAAACTGATGAATTTGACAACAAATTAGGTTAAAATCACCACTGCCACAACAATGTGAGTGTCTAAGTTAATCTCCTGAGGGGTCAATTTGAAGTCAAATGATAAGAATATCATGAAATATGTTCACTGCTGACAGCAGAACATGTCACAAACCCTTGTTTTAAATGCAAAACCAGTGTAGCATATGATCAATTCTTTCTGCCTGTCCCTTTTGAATATGCAACGACCTTATTTTTTTTTTTTTAAAATAATACCCCTTTTTCACCCATAGGACTTTCAAAATGAATTTCTGTTTTATTAACAACTGTCTCATTGCTGTTATAGATTTTATGATTTGACATTTAATGTAATCTCAACACTATTTTCAGCTTGTAGAATGCCTGTTGGTGAATGGGAGGTGTATCTTCACAAATATGAAAAAAGCCTTCACATCCAATGTGGTATTTACCGACAAGCCGGCCGAGAAGTCTGTTGTTGGCAGTGTCTAACCAAGCATACTCCCTTTGCTTGATATGCTTCACACCTTGTAGAAGTTGCAGTACTTGGACATGTAGGTACATATAGTACATTTAAAGTGTCCCAGTCAGTTAAGGCACCACAATGTCTCACTACCAAATTCCATCACTTCGGTCATCCTCATACATTAGAAATTTCTGACAGTGTCCCGTCAATGCCTCAGTGTGTAGTATTTCAGCTTCCCAGACATGAAATAAGGGCTGTGGCAACAATCCCAGAAGCTGCTTAGATGTAAATAATAACAACTGACCCTTGTGGAATGTAATATTATGGGTCTGAATTCACATTTTATTGACATGAGAGTGTTGATATCTTAAAATTATCTCCCCTGTTTACCCAAATACATTGTGTCTTTCTCTAACCCAGTAACCCATAAATTACTGCAGAGAAGCTCTGTTTTTAGCTGATATTGCCAAATACTGTTAATTGTAATTAAAATATTCAGTTTAGGGCAGGGTAACCAATAAATTTCCAAAGTTATGTGGATTTTTTCACTTTGTTCCCTCTAAACTGGCTTATACATGAGAATTGGCAAGTGTAACAGCCTCAAAACAATACACAGTCAATAGTTTTGAAGTTCTGGAGAGTATTTCAAAGTCTTAGCTTGATGAATCAATAGATTCAAGTGTAAGTTCTTATCATGCTGTGGTCTAAAAGTGATTTCATCTGTTGAAGGGGTCATTTGCCTTGATCGACTAACAGGCTGACGGGGTACTGTGGTCAGTGTTTCAGACTGCTAGGCATAATCCAACCCCTCACTTATTACATTCTGGCAAAGTTCATTATCCAGCCTTACATATGTCAGGATGTTAAAGCTGCTTAATGTTAAACCTGTCCAATTTCTGGCCTGAATTCCATGATTTTTTGTCGTTCAAAATATAGTTTGGATTGATATGATCAAGGCAGTCCCAGTCATGCATGGAATTAACCCATGGCCCCTTTTTGTGAAATAAGAGTAAACTCCCATGGTATATGTATGATTTAAAAACTTTCTCTATTAATGCAGAAGTGCATTTTGGATAGCTTTGGTGAAATAGACATGATATAACTCTTACAGCTCTGTCAGTGCAGCAAATCACTATATTCTTGTGCCATATAGATATGTTGGACAGGAAAAAGTATTGAAGCTTCATGCAGTTTTATATTTTTTCTGAGAAGTTACATGTATATACAGTACATAAGTCACAGATTTGCCTAGGGCAAATGTTTCTAAATTTTCCTACAGGTTATACTAAACTAAATGAGAATCGCTTGCTCACTGAGCCGAGAAGCATTATGTAAACAATTGAAGAGATAGAGACATGTGACAGCTGTGATTGGATGAAATAGTGTAAGATGTTTATATGTTTTTTAAAAGCATATATCAACCAGTGAGATTAAAACTGACGACAATTTTGTAAGTATTCAGTGCTGTCATTTTCATCACCATGACTTATGCTTATTGTGTGTACAGATATTTTCCAGTAGGTGACATTTGGTGCTTGGAACTGGGGTTGATGTGTTCCACTTCCTGTCCTCATAAAACGCAGGCGGACAAGTTGGCCTGATATTGTGTTTTTATTGTAGTTTAAAGGCCAGAGTGTACTTGCATGTGTACATGGAATGTCTGTTGATAGCTTGTCTATTTTAAAAAAATTATAAGGTTACTATAGAAGTCTATGGGGAAAACATTTGGTGGTGTGTAACCTTGACTATGGAACATCGGGTCTAAAGTTCCTGAGACAGCAGAGAGGCAAATTCTTGCAATTGCACAAGACATAGTGTATTGCAGCCGTAGAGTAGAATCACGTACTCCAAAGCATGTAACATTGGCTGCTTCAGTGCATCATCTCACAGTTGGTATGGAACTAGTGTCTACATTAGACCGCCTAGGACATTGTATTTCAAAATCAAAGCTCCTGGAAGTTGAAAAGAGCTCTAGCATAAATGCGCCTACAAAATCAAAGGGCTGCAGTGGTGCCGGCAAACATATCTCTTCAAATGTTCCAGTATGTTTAGTTTGGGATAACAATGACTTCCAGGAAGAGACTCCCTCTGGCAAGAACACAACTCATTGCACCACTGGAATGGTTATACAGCCTAGAGTATCAACTTCTGCTCTCCAACAAAGAGAGGCAGACACTGTTCCAACTCACGCAGAAGATCAGTGCAGCTAATTGTCGACCAGTTGATTGAAGAGTATACATATGGCAACAAAGCGTGTTGGACCTGAACGAATTCAGGGGGCAGTGGAACTGTTAGCTGGTATGGTTCATGTCATGGCTTACTGCTGACTTGACATGCGGCGCCAAGGAGGAACACACACCACACAAAATGACTGTATTACCCAAATTTACTAACGTCAGGAAATACTCGTTTCATCCGGGCGACCCATATGAACGCGTTTGAAAATCTACGTATCATCTGGCGTCAGATTTACACTACGTTTAAAAGGGTGTTAAAATAAACGAACATCTCGACTCTGCATTTACATGTATTTCACAGGTGTGTAAATCTGGCCATTGTTTCCATGTGTTTCCTAACATATTGTAACATATGTAAATGCTGTGATTGTAGGACATGCATTTCAATACCCTTTGAAATCTCGTATGACCAGGGTTAGGTTTGTCATATATTTTTTGTACATGCGTAAATGGTTGGAAATGAGTAAGTATAGTGTTACAAGATTAGCACTACTTTAACATGTATTTCAATGGTGCTGTAATGTAACTGTCACATAGGGTTCGTTAAGCGTCCGACCACGCCATAATGTACTGAGATAATTAGTAACACATGGTGAAGTGATACCCATGACTGAGCACCCCTAATAGCGTCACGTGTCTTTCTTGACATACACATGGTGTCTGTTTAAAAGGTTCAAATATCGGGTCCCATGGGCCAGGCGCCATATGTATGTTAGGGAGTGTGTGTGTGTGTGTGTGTGAGGGAGAGGGTGTGGCATGGGGTAGGCCTAGGGGTGGGGTGGTGGCAGTGGTCGGTGCTCGGGTACTGATAAGTCTTTCTGACCAATAGGTAATATCATTTATACTTTTGTAATGGAAATTACATAACAGTTTAAATAACTGACCTTAGGTACACTTCTTATATATGCTATACAAGGAGACACTGCTAATTACAATAAAACACAGATCTAGGACGAATGTGTTCACACAGACATGAACCGGTAGGTCCCTAATTTTAGTGCTCACTTGTATGAGTTATCCGACTGATCATAACTGAACAA